AAAAAAATTCATCCATTTGCTATGAACGGTTAAAAATGAAATCGTTATATTCTTAGTTTGTGTAGTGAGTATCAATAGGCTAAACTACTAAAATAAATTAAAAATAAAATACAATAAAACTATATGAGTATATACAGAATAATTTCAATTAGAGTTATGGAGATTAGTGTTTTTACACATTTGAAATTATCAATTAATCATTGTTAGAGCACCATTAGAAACCTGGAAGCACTGGACGGCCGTTTCGTTCTGGTATGGGACTCATCAGCAGCGCGCATCCACCGTTGGATGCCGGCCAAGAGATCCGGACGTTAGGCTCCCGGATCCCGGGTTCGAATCCTTCGCGCTGCAGGAGTCTTGGATGTGCATTGCTAATGAGTCCCATACCAGCACGAAACGGCCGTCCAGTGCTTCCAGGTTTCTAATAGTGGTCTAATAATGATTGATTGATGAACTCAGATATACATAATATGTTTTGAGTATTGTTAATCGAAAAAACGGTACAAGTGTTACATAGTATCATGACTATTTGTAAGGATTTGTATTTTCTTATTATGAATTATGAGGTATACTTTTGACCACTCTTTCTTGATTAGATTACCCTTAGGTACGTTTTTATATTTATGAAAATACAAATTTCATGATTTTATTAGAATGCTGATAAATACATTAAGTTAGAGTAAATAAGAACTTTGTAAGCAACATGTAAATACAAATCTAAAAGCTTACATAAATCATCATATTGGTTGATTACACAAATCTCAAACTGTCCGCCTACAATTCTTCTTCTGATAACTTATATGAACAAACTGTTAACATTTAATTTTTATTGTCAATGCTTTATTGACTGACAAAATTCTTACAAAAAGTATATTCTCAATCAAAATCATTAAAAAGAAAAGAACTGTTTCAAAATATAAAAATGATTTTTTTTTTTTCTATCTTTATTTTATCAATATAATCATGCCTAAGAATTGTGAAATCTGTTAAACATTATTAATTCAGAATAAATATTTCATTGTGATTATTATTGAGCTCACCTAAACTAAAGTTGTTTAGTGTGAACGTTTCTCATGATTAAGAAAGAATTGAACATAATGACCTAATACGATGTCAGGTCATTGAAACTAATCACAGTATCTTAAACTGACTGATTAACATTATAGTTTATTGGTTATTAATCCATATTTAGTTAAGGATTAAGAAGTAAATTCACTGTTTTAATGAAATCAATACGCATCAGTAATTACATAGTAATATTATTATTATTATTATTATTATTACATATTTATGAAATAAAGCTGTATTTTTTTATCATTGAAGGTATCATGTAAAAGAGAATTTTCTCTTAAGCGAATATAATTGGTGAAATAATAATCTTTTTTTAATTAGTCAATATTAAAACTTAGCATCAACATGTCTAGACTTAAAATTGGATCCACTTTGAATATAGAAAGCTAAGCATAAATAAGAGTAACCATTAAAATCTTAGAATAGAATGTTGAAAATGATAATAATTATGTTACATTAATCCTTAAAAAGTTTTATATCGACGAAACTCTACGTTGAATGAAGAAATTTCCACTTACTAAAATAAGTTAGATAAAGGTTAATGAATTTTCTACTCATTATGCAATGTTTATAATCAGTTACATTATCAATAATTAAGTTAACAGTGTATGTATTACAGGTGATCAATATATATATATAATTATTATTATTTATGGTAGAAATGGTACTTAATTTGTGGTAAATAAGTTCTCAAAATCTATGATAAATTGAAATTTATAAATATAATAATGAATAAAACAAAAGAAACATTGAACATTGAAAAATAATCATGTTCGGTGTGAAATAAAAATCGAAATATTGGTTTACCATAATATGCACAAATGATTAAGCTATGATAGCATTAGGTTACTGTTACGCTCGTCTCTAGGTATGCTTAAGCTATTACGAGTTCATCTCAGACAAATAACGAGAACAAACAATGAACCGGCGTCCAGGTAGGCTATTGTGATCCGATTGTCCAATTGTACCAGAAAGAAGTCTTAGTATAGCGTAGAAAGTGTATTCTACAAACACCCAGCCAGCATACAATGAATCCAAGCACTCAAATTGCGTCTATTTATACTCTATAGAGACGTCCTTGGGACAGTCACAAAAATAGCGCACTAAAAAACACAGTAACCAATCACAGCCAAAGATTTTCCTGATGGTAAATGTGATCACAAGGTCGACTGATCAGTCCATGAAACAAATCCAAAATAAAGATATTTATCAAGCGATTTCTGGGGATCTAACATCCCCAACAGTTACCTTGTAGTAACGGTGTTGAATAGGTTTTCAGGGAAAGATTATTTTTAAAAAAAATGATTATCTACAAATATTTGAAAGCTAAGTTTGTTTAATTCAAATAAGAAAAGATATCTATGGCAGCTATATCAAAGTAAATTATTGTACCTATTCAGTAGAAACAAATTTATTTATCCAATTTTTTCATTTATTACAAAGGATCCACTTATAAAAATGTCTAAAGGAATTGTATGACATTTAGATATTATTATGTTACATAGAAAGTTGAGTAAATATTTCAATGGTCTAGAAATTTCGTTGCCCAAAGAATTAATTCAGTGGATAAGTGTTCTCTCAATCGACACATTTTAATCATTATTATCTCAGCGTCCTATTAAATAACCAAATCAATACCAAGTTCACAGTGAATTAAAGCTAACACACTTATTCAATGTAGAGCACATTCTGGTACACAAAATTCCACAGAAAATAATGCTAACCTTTTCGAAAGTCAAGAATTAGTCAGTTTGTTTATAAAGAGTCACGTGATTAGTTGAAAATAGTAAATGATTCGTTAAAAAAAATTCCCATTGATTTGATTAGATGATATCTGTTTTATTTTTGTGACTTACCAAATTATTCTGTACCCAGAGAATCCATTTATCAGTCTTATTAAGCTCTTTGTTATTCAAATATGAATAGCAACTAATATTAACTTGTTCATTCTGACATGAGTTAAGCAATATACAAAAAAAAACACCGACAAACCAAATTTATATAACCGAAATAATAATAATAATAATAATAATAATAATAATAATACTATACTTCTCGGCATAAATAAACAAAAAACCCATTCAATCGAGGGTAAAATATAAATAATTTTTCACATGACTTCAAATATACCACTAAGTTTTAACCAATCAATTTATTATGCTTGATGACATTATTTCATTTGACATGGAAACGATTAATAATGATTGCAAATGTCAACTCAGCACAAAAACAATTCATTGTTATAGTTAGTTACATTATGCAACAAATATAAGCATCGAATAATGATTGTCGATGAATGCGAATGAAGTTGAGGTAGAGAAAAAAAAAATTAAACTCTTAATCTTTGATAGCTAGAGAATGGAATTAGATTAAAAACAAAATAATATAAAACTTAATGAAAAAAAATTCAAAGAAGTTGAAGCCAACCGATAAACATACTTGAATAGCATTAAAACAACTATGTTTGCACAATGCTTTTTGCATTCCTTAAACCCGTCACATTTCAATAACATCAATCATTGCACATACTGTATAAACCGTTATTATTATTATTATTATTGTTACTTTTAGATAGATGATATGAAAGCTTGTCGTTTGTTCATGATTCATTATTTTATGAATGATGATGAGTTCTGATAATCATGAACATGATTACAATGAGTGATCATTTGTTTGTCAACATGTTATAACTTGATGTATATTTAAGTGAAAACAATAAAGAAGTAGACATATTGATCAGGTTTTATTGAAACTACTCAAATCGATCATTATTTCTCTGATAACTGTGATCACATCCTTAAGATTTATCATAAAGTACACATAAAAAAAACCTCACTTGTTTAAATGTCAGTGAAAATATCTGAAATTCATTGTGCACATTTATTATATTATCATCATTATTACTAGTAGGAGTAGTAGTTTTGGCAGTCGTAATAGTAATAATAGCATATATATGTTGCTGAATTGTTACAAACTATCAATCAGTTATATATAATATCAATTTTTATTATAACCGAACTATTTAATTCTAATCTATTAACTTGTCACTGACAATTTATTTGATTATACTGCATAATCTGGTTTACACTTATATTGTTCAATTAGACTGCTAATCACGTATTTCTCACTCACCTATAAATTAAAACAAAATAATCAAACAAACAAAATAACCCGAATAAATTCAGTCTATTTTGAATTATTACCGACAAATGACATAGTGTATGATTGTGAATAGTTTATTCATCTATAAATCTATTGTATATTATCAATATTTAATGACTATGCATATATTGATGAAGTATTTATAAATGACTGCATGAGTTTTTGCTCTCTTTAAACCCTTTATTTTTTTCTATCATATTCTATTCACTTTTTGCTTCTATCGTTCTGTCATTTATGTATATATTTATAAATTGAACAATAATAATAATAATAATAATAATTGTTGTACATCATTTAAACACACACGCACACACGTAACTTCAAACAAAAAAACGATTTTCCTCTATTTTTAAAAATGAATCATTTTTCTTTGTTTATCTGAAGTTGTAAAAGTAGTAGTATTTATTGAATGAAAGTAAAAAAATGTATAGTTTATTATTTAATATGACAAATTAGAATGATACTTGATGTATTATTTCATTGTTTTCATTCAATAATCATGTAAATAAACACTTCGTTTTATTTGATATAAATATGATCATGGATTGTAAATTTTGATTCGAAAATGCGTGGCAACTTGGTGTTGCCATTGTTACCGTACGGTGGGTAATACAACCAGCGGACATCATTAGGATACTACTGTTTCCGACTGGCATCTACAGATGTGTAACCTACTGTCAAATTACCAAGATACACTGGATTCAAGTGAGACGGACTCATGGTCTACAAATGCTAAATATGAAGATCTAAAGATTCCTAACACTGCAGGGCAAAAATCCGATCAATCAAAAGAAAATAACACAGGTAAAAAATCAATGAAAAATATCAACTACAAATCTAAATTAACCCAATATAAACCACAAATCAAATCTACATCTCAACCAAAATCCGGTTGTATATCATCAACGTGTTTATCGGGAAAGCCTAGTTTAAGCAATAAATTATATTCGGACAAACGTGAATCAAATGAAATAGTATTAGCCAATGCAAATAGTTTGATTGTACAATTGAACAGAGAATTAACAGATTGCAAATCTGAATTAAGAACAATATTAAGGCAATATAAAATGCAAGCTGTACGGTTGGATAAAGCTATAGCACGTGAAGCTGAAATGCTAGAAGTTGTTGATCGTTTGAAATCAGAAATACGTTCATGACAAATTAGATTACATCAAAAAACATTAGAATCAAGTGCTGATAAGAAAAAAATCAGTGAATTACAACGATGTATTTATATGTTAGATAAAAAAAGCTGATGTAACGCCAAACCACTGTACTAATGACACCCGAACGTTAGTCCCCTCCGTTCAAAAATAAGAAGACAGAAGACGTTGGAGAACGCTTATTATCAGAATCAAAAATATACAATCAAACATGCGTATTTATACAATTATATAAATGTCGTTAAATATTTTGAACATGAATCAAATAGTTCATCATGAACATTAATCATATAGTTCATCATTAATGAAATAGTTTATCATGAACATTAATCGAATAGTTCATCAATCTACAATATGCGTGGCTTTCTTCTCGATTGGCTATCCCAACAAAATACATAATTTTAAACACTACACAAATGTCAATGACTAATGTATTGTTTTTCTTTGGTCTTTCCCCTTTTTTTTTATTGTGTGTGTCCTATCCAACTATTCTGTGTGTGTGTGTGTGTTGTCTATAGTAACGTAAAACATGAAATGTGTGAATCAGGTGTACTGGGTTGCAAGTCACGAGAAAATAAAAAGAAGAGAATAAAGAAGAATACAATACCATTTACATAAGTTGTTGATAATATCAATAAAAAAAAGAAAAGTTTATATGATTCATATCTTATTAATTTTAATTAAAATTTTGCAGTATTTTTCAAAATTACTAAGAAGAAAGAAAATTTTTAATGCTGACAATAAAATTTTATCGAAAATGTTTGATAATTAGACTGTTAGTCGACAATTTTTTTTATTTATTGGATTAAAGTAAGAAAAAAATAACTGCAAAACTAAAGAGAGATTTTTTTTCTAATTTTTCTAAAACAATGTGATAATCATAGAGTGAAAATCAACTCTGTTATGTAAGTACATCCAGCTAACGAGTTCAAAATAGAGCGAAGCACGCATCCTGGATTCTACTGCCAATCACTGTCCACCTCTGGTAATAAGCGTTTGCACGCACGACCGAAGGTCGGATCCTGCAAGTAGCAGGAGTCACGTATGTGCACTGCTGATCAGTCCCAAATCATGACGAAAAGGCCGTCCAATACTTCCAGGGTTTGAGTGGTGGTGGTCTAAGAATCATTCGTTCCTGATTTCACTGTAAATATGCTTTGCCTTTTTTTCGGTCATCTTAGCAGTCTTTCTTGATACATGGGATATTTGGGCAGTGTAAATGTTGAAGAGCTAAATATCTGAAGATCTTTTTTAGTCGACAAGAAGAAATTTATTCCAAGTGTTTAGTGCCAATGATTAAGGAAAGAATTAAGCTGGACAGGATGAGTTTGCGAATAAGAAGATTTCAGTTAATCATATCGAAGACTTAAGAAATGTCAGAGTATAGATTTATAACCATATTCTGAGTAAAGAATAAATTCAACGAGTTTAAGTGACAGATTGTACAAGATCTACGTTTTAGGAAGTCATAATATGAATTAATGGTACACTTAACAGTAATTAAATAGCTGGAAATTTCACCGTGAAAAATGTTTTCATTGTCCCACAGATAACCTGGCCTATCAATAGTCTATTCATTCTTGTTTCTGTATGTGTACTATCGTATTGAATGTACGATTTTCCAACAGTATAGAAAAGTGACTATTTTTGGGGAAAGATTGAGCGTAAGTAAACAGTTGTAAAAGTGTTTTCATGTTACATCTACAATGTTTGAAATAGAGGGATATTATCTCGTTTGCTGTCTAACTCTTTGAAACTCTTAAGTAAGGTTATAGATAATAAGAAATGAAGGAGTTACGTGATATCTAAATCAATGTCATTTAAGAATTCAATATTATTTATAAAATTACTATTGAAAAATTTTTTGATAGTTTTGAAATCATTTACAAATGTAATTTCATAGCAACTACAAGAGATATCTGCATTTTAAGAACTGAACTGAATATTTTTATACTTTTGAACTACTATTAAGTGTTGAAAAAATCTTCATTAACGGCTTTCAACCCTTGAATTTCTTTTACTTGAATGCAAATTATAGGTACATGCGTACTATCGCTGAAACTATGCCTATGCATCAGATTTACCAGTATTAAAATATGAATATTCTAACAAATAAAAGCTTGAAGCGATTTTCTGTTGTATGTATGAATTTATCTATTAGATGTCGAATTATTAATTAAAAAAAAATTCCGAACTTGATTACTTACTATTCAGTAATTTTCTAATATTTTCATAAATCATTAGTAATATATAATTATTACATTTTCAATGTTTAGTTGCGCATATTCGCAAAATTCCCGATGATTATCAGTGTTATTTTAGTTCTCTCTCTTACTAATCTATATATATATATATATTTTATTGAAAATATAATGAAGAGTTTGCCGTTTGAAACATTTATGATTTGTTTTTTTTTCTGTAAAATGTATAGAAATATCTTAAGAAAAGAAAAGAAATTGTATTGTTCTGTTATCATTTAATAATGTTATTTTATCAGTATCGCTATCATTGTAACAAAGGTATAATGGTGATATTTGCGAAGTTTTCAAATAAAAAAAAAATTAATTATCACAGAAGTAATTTTTGTTTTCCCTTTTCAAGATGAACGCAATAAATGTAGATAGTTTTGATAATGTAATGAATTCATAGGTACTTTAACTTAAATTCTAAAAGTAGATAACTTTGAATAGAATATACGTTTATTTTTTTTGTCTAGTCACGCATTATGTGTATTAATTGCACGGTTCCTACAAGTGAAATTTTCTAGAATAAACTAAAATATATTTTATTAATGAAATGAAAGGAAACCGATAATAAACCAGTTAGTTAGTCACTACAAACTCCAAACTTCCTGAGTTCAATCTCCATAGAAATTCATTAGTGCAGACTACTTGAGAGTTCTAAATAAGAACAAAATAACTGTTGAATGTTCTAGGTACTTCGTAGTTTTGTAGTAGTCAGTTATGAATCTGTATTAGCAAATAAAATTGATTTTTATTAAAACCTTTTGTATTAAGATTGTTGAATCAGTGGTATTTAGGAAAATGAAACATTAATAGAATTCTCAGAACTTATTTCACTGCCTGTTCACTATTTAGTGTAGTAGTTATTAATAGTTAGCTTTTCATTTGTATAATAAAAATGAGTTGAAGATGGGATTCAACTTTGTGAAATCAGATAATTTTGTATAGTCATCAGGCTTCATGATATAAATAGTCAAATTAAATTTTCGATGTGAACACTTCAATAATTATCGATTGACTTAAGTGTTAACTGATAATGCACCAGTGATTATTTTAATGGAAAAACGTAGGTAAAAAGTAGAATTGAACAATTCCAGTCAGTACAAATTATTACTTTGTTTTTTAAATAATGCAGGGAAATTTAAAGTTCAGGCAGATACAGTTCGACAGTGTTGTATGTTGAACAGCTTTATTTGTCGTCCTGGACAACATTGGCACATAATTCAACATGAGATTGAAAATGTTTGTACACATATATAGTTAGGTAGATAAATGGTGGCACAAGTGTCTATCAATGAATGTGAGAACATTTTGTAATTTTAAATGACTACTAACAAATTTTAATCTACAAGTCTATCAATAAGTTCAACTCATGATGACAGTGTATTGAATAATTCACTTGTCCATTCTTAAATGTTACATATTATTTCATTGATTTGTAGCTAAATTCATTCCTTTTCTGTTTAAAATGAAAATATTCAACTCATTCATTGTCTTACGGATTATTTTTTTTCCGTTTACACTCACATAACAATGTTGCATTTCTTTGTGTATGCATCAAAAATTGACATGATTTATAAATGATTATCAATAGTTTATAATGACTATAATTAGTATTGTTATCAGTATTATTAGTGTAGAACAAAACCATCTCACAAATCATACATAGATAGATATTCAGTCGAATATCGAAATTAATGAGAGGTTATATTGTTATGCGTTGAAGTTTCTTTCTCAAAACATATATGTATATGTATTTATATGTATACATAAATATGCATACAATGACTTGAGTGAAACATTCAGAGTTCAGACTAGCATGTGATTGAATTAATTTTCATTAAATCTACTTAAAAAATTAATAAGAATACAGTTATTTAAAAAAAAAAAATTAACAAATAATTTGTATCATGAATAACAAAAAAAATGTAATACACATCAATCGATCGATTTTAATTAAATAATGCATGCATGAATGCTGTTAACATTTTTACATATTTAAACAAAAAAATTGAACTGAAAACTGTAAATAGCTTCGTTGAATTCAAGATTCATTTTGTATTTTATATGTCATTTAATATCAGGACTGTTAAAATTAAAAATTTTGTTTTTCATTTTTTCTGTATTCTGTAATAGAGTTCGTTTGTTTGTATTGTATAAATCATAATTTGATATTCATAAATATATATTTAGCAGAATGCTTAAGGACACTCAGTTTACTTATCTGTCAGTTAGTGAATCTAAATTGCTGAAGTAATCTGAATCAAACCAGAAAACAATTAGTAAGATTTTGTTATTTAATTTCAGGTAAAAATATACTTAGCATGTTGATCATTCTTTTCACTGTTATCATAATGGAATTGGTCACATTCAACAGCACTATTTAAATAACATAGAAGTCTATAGTGTCTTATTTGGTGTATCAAATGGTAACATTTTAAATGAATGAATTTAAAATTTTAAACAAATTTCTTACCAAATATCTGTACTTATTCAAGTGAAAAGATTAAAGCTATTGATTATTAAACAAACATTCCACTTAACTGCAAAGATAAGTAAGAAAAAATCCCTAGATCAATCAGAGTTAGACATTAACACCGTTGGATGCCGGCCCAGTGGTCCGATGGTAAGGCGTTCGCCTACAATGCCAAAGGTCCCAGGTTCGAATCCTGCGAGGAGCAGGAGTCGTGGATGCGCACTGCTGAGGAGTCCCATACTAGGACGAAACGGCCGTTCAGTGCTTCCAGGTTT